AGAGCTGACAAGCCCAGAGGCCCCCAGGCAAGCGCTTCCCGCTCCCTGGGCGTGGTCTAGTCACCAGAGTATCCATAGTTCCTGGCAACTGGTAAATCTTGGTGAACACAGCTGGAATGAGTGAAGTTTCCTCCAGGCAGAGATCATGATGAGGGTCAAATAGTTCATTAGGTGGGAAAGGGGAGGCCACCCCAACTCGGCTTCTGAATTGCAACAATCTGCCTTTACAAGACAAACCTGACCAATGAAAGCATCTGCAGGGACCTGAGACAGGTGTCTGTGGGTTGCTGCCCAAATGTGTCAGAAATAAACATGTGCTCAGAGCCCTAGCCTCGCAGGGATGCAGAAACACTTCACTTTTTAAAAAGGGACTGTTATGGATGGAAAATGGAAATTTGTTGGACTTTTCTGGAGTAATTGTATCCACTGCAACGTATTCATGCCTTACTAAGGGCACGGTGGTGCTTTCCAGGCTCAGGGCAGCTAAGGTTGAATGGGCTGGGGACATTCACTCCTAGCTTTCCCCGGCAGGGGGACGTGGTGTCGGCTGCTGTGACTGCGTGTCTCGCGGCGCTGGGAGGACAGCTTGCCGCCTGGACTAGCTGCGCCGACCCCTCGCGCCACGTCCGGGCCTTCCCAGACCCCTAGAATGGTCGCCTTTGTGACTCGCATAGACAGACCCGTTCTCCCCTGGAAGGCGCTGGGAGGGCTGGACAGAGCAGAGGTGCGAGAAGGAAGCAACACCCACCCCACCGACCCCCAGCGACCCCTTACCAGCCTAGCCGGACCCCCATGATGCTGAGTGACTTCCTAACTCAGTCAACCCTCTCATTCCTTCCACTCGCCACTCAGGCTGGCATCCAGTAGCCCCTCCACCTCCTGGATGAGGCTAGGCTTCAGAACTCCGTTCACTTGGCTTGTTCCTCCCGCACTCACACCTACTGCGACCTGCAGGTACAGACTGGACACGCAGCTGACCTGAGGAGCCCAGGTCTCCTGCTCTGCACTCAGTCAATCATTCATGAGGAAAATAACCACCAGTGAGGGGCAAGTGGCCCATCATATTTCTTCAGGACCCCCACCCCAAGTGAGCATGGGCCAGAACCCAGTCTGATCCAAGTCCAGTGTGACAAGTGTGAACCTTCCACTGCCCTAATAGGGCCCGCTAGTTTAAAGATAAACATTATTCATCTAGAAGGCCTTCAAACACAAGCCACCTACTCCCTCTGGAGCCAAACTCAAAAAACAACTACAAAACAAGACGTCATTGAGGGGTATTAGCCCGATTGCCTGCTTTTCTTTCTTAATTGCCAGAGGGCATGGGCACTTGACGGGGAGGGAAAAAGCACACACACACACCTTCCCCGATCACACTGCAATTCCTTCTCCATTTCCCCATCTTGTTTGGATTTGGGCCAGAATTCAAATTGCACAGTTGGCCATGTGAGATTGGCTCCTTTAACCACGAGCCTACAGGACTGGCCCTGGGGTTGCTAGTTTACAAAAGTAATTTTGATTCCATGTGATTTCTAATTTACCTTCTAGCCCCATGAGTGAATTACAGCCCAGCCATATTAAGATCTCTGCTTTCTTATCCCTAACTTTTAGAATAAAATATGTTTTAGGACTTACCATATTTTTGGTTTCAGGAAAATAATAAGATACTCAAGGAAGCATGTTGCCATTGTTGTGAGAAGTCATTGTAACCATGAGGAAAGTGTAGCAGTATGATTTTTATTGGGTTCGGGCAATACATCAAACACATGAATGTTTCTGCAAAGACATACATGAATATACATGCCAAATGGGAAAAGTAAAGATTAGGAACAGCCTGATGTCAGACCTTGCCTCCACATGATTCATACAAAGCATCTGGACACATGTTACCATCTTTACCTTACAGAAAAGGAACAGACTTGGAGGAACTGAGTATTTGAAGTATGCGGAGTAGCCAGGATTTGAACCCACTGCATCTGCCTCTCAAACCCCATGTTTTACCACAGCTCTAGGTGAAACCATAGCCTGGACCTGAGCAGCACTCTGCAGCTGCTCTCTGCCACCTCTCTGATATTTAAAGGGCTGCTCCAGCTTCAGCTCCCTACATAGCCCAGTGACTCACACATTTCAAAGTGTCAGCCACTGAGAAATGATTAAGTTCAACTAGGTTCAGAACTTGTTAAAAATAGGCCCTCCTCAGAAGAATTTACTGTCTGTGTCTTTATCTCAGCATCCCCCTTGCAGAGAAATACAAGGCTTTTGGAATTAGAACATGCCAGAATCAATTCTGCTAAAGGGACCTTCAGCTCCATCAGTGGGGCTTGGAGCAGATGAGATGCTGGCTTGCCAAAACAATGAGCCAGTGGTGAAAAATGTTGGTGCTGGCAGAGCTTACAGGGTGGAGGAGGGAATTTGGAGCCAGGCTGCAGAGGGGCCAGGCAGAGGCATTTGGACATGGACTAGGAAGCCTACTGTCCAAGTGACTCTTTGGCAAGGCAGATCAGAAATTCTCCAATGGACTCAAAATGATTTTTATTTTCTTTTTCCTTTTTAAAATTTTGCCTCCCTAGTGTCTGTTGCCCCTCCTCCTCCCTAACAGATCCCAGTTTGTTCAGGTAACCATCCCTCCTGTGTTCGGCCAATGTGACCTGAGAATTGAGTTTGTTTTTGCTAGAGGGCACGTGCACTCACCAGAGAGAGACAGAGATAGGGAGAGAGAGGAGAAAGCACTCCCCCCCACCCCCGGGAGCATGGTCATGCCACAATCCCTCCTCCATTTCTCCCCCCCTTCAGGGTTTGGGGCATGCATGTACACACACCTCACGTGTTTCTCAAGCCTCCAGGTCTAGGACTCAAACTGCATGGTCGGCCATGTGAGATTGGCCGCCATCACCACCAGGCCATGAAGCTGGCCCAAGAAGTTGATTTATACACACACCTCCGGGCTAGATCTCCATTTGTCTCGATCACAGCCATCCCATCCTTGCCAATGAGTGGACCAGGAATCTAAATTTAAGCCAGTTAGAGGACAGCATTCTCCAGGAGACCACAGCTGCCCCAGAATAAGCCCAGTAGCCTAATCAGAAAGAAAGGAAAGACTGACCGTCCGGGGGTGGTTGGAGGGAGCAGCTTTTGTGCATCCATTGGATATGAACAGCAAAGCATGTCCCTGTGCCCTGTTGCTGGCAGCCCTCTGTAACCACGAGGGCAGCCAATCTGAGAGCAAAGCCAATACGTGATGGGTGAAGAGCCCAGAGATAATTACAGAACAATGTAGCCGACAAAATCCTGACTTGTTCCAAAATTGAGTGTAGATTTCTGACTCTCATAGATCTCAAGATCTCATAGAACCCACTGGAAATCTTGAGATGTCAAACGAGATAGGAGAGGGAGATTTCGGGACCAAAGTGCTGGCTGAATTTGTAGTTCTGAGTCCTTGGTATAAGCTGAGGTGCCCGGCCCCAGAGGTGGGTGGACCTGAGTCC